TGTTTGGCTATTCAAGCACAGAATGAACAATTAAGAATGAACTATTTAATCCAGTTGTACAGCAGAGCACCGATGAATTTTCCGAGTTAAACGTTTAGTTTAATAGAACGAAAAATATGAGTTAAGTGGATTGTTTTTGGCTAATTAGTTTTGCCAAAGTTAACGTCTGCAGAAACTAAACGTATATAGTAACATTGAAGAGACTGATGAGAGTAAAACATGTTGACTAATGATTGTTGTATTTTTAGATCGTTTTTCAGCGCACGATTCCAACAGCGAAGCAGCAAAGATTGAACCAGATCTATTATCACTTCTTCAAGACTTACGACAGAGCAATCATTTAAATAATACACTACTTGTAATAATGGGAGATCATGGACCTCGTTATGGCAAAGCACGTGCATTGATGCAGGGAAAACTTGAGGAGAGACTTCCACTTTTTTCAATGTCATTTCCTTCGTGGTTTATGAAAAAACATCCGGAAATTTCAAAGAATTTAAAGATAAACACCGACCGTCTGACATCTTGGTATGACGTTTATGCCACATTTCGTCACATGATAAGTTACCCAAACGTTCCGACGGGTCTAAAACGTGGTCAAAGTTTGTTTAAAGAAGTTCCTATTTCTCGTACGTGTTCCCAGGCTGGGGTTGAAAAACATTGGTGTCCATGTTTAGAATGGGCGAACGTGGATCTTGGACACAGTCATGTGAAGAATTCTGCACTTGCCGCAGTTGTAGTTTGTGTCACCTACAGACCGCCTGACTGTCCCACCTCTTGTTTGGAAGATTACTTGAAGCCTTCGATGATCCATGCTTTAGCATTCAATAAGCCCATTACTATCCTAGGCGACCTAAACTGTGATCTTTTACAGGAAAACCATAATGGATTAGAATTGACAAATTTTGTTTCTGAGTTAAATCTTAAACAAGTGATTGATACACCCACAAGATTACTGGAACATTAGATCATTAATAGACGTCGTAATAACCACGACCCCGGAACATAATACAGGAAAGTGGCGTTATCAACAGCTCTATAAGCGATCACTTCCCTGTGTACGTAGTCTTGAATTTAAAACTACCTAAACAACCACCAAGCTACATTACCGTGCGTAGTTACAAAAACTATAACCCTACGTCATTTACTACGGTCAACCTGGTTCAGCTCAATGTAAAATCAATACACTTATTGGATCACCAGACTGTGAAATGTTTTTTATTTATGTGTATATTATTTCTTTTCACTTAAATTGAGTTGTTGCAGCTTATAAACTGACCTTATGTCATTTTATTTATAGTTTAATATTTATATATATATATATATAATATATAATATATAATAATAATTATATATATATATATATATATTATATTTGTAAATACTGGTCACCGATTGATACCAGTCAATCTATGATTGACTGACCGGTTTATCAGTTTAAATAAAGATCTTATTATTATTATTATTATTATTTACAGCGGATCTTGCATCTAAGAATGAACAGCTCATACAATCAGTTTTCTTCGAAAGAGAAGTGAATGCTAAACTATCAAAATTCAATGATGCTGTTTTACCCACCCTGAAAATACATGCGCCAATCAAAAGAATTAGGGTCCGTCATCGACCATGCCCATATATTACCCAAAGAATTAAAGATTTGATGATTAATAGAGATAGACTGCATCGACAATTTCAACTTACACGTGATACTATAGATTGGAGAACTTATAAACATGCAAGACAATCAGTCAAAACTGCTCGGAAAAAAGCAGAAAAAGAATATGTTCGTGGCGAGGTTTTAGCTCATAAGAACAACGCCGCATCCTTATGGAAAATTATAAACCGGAGCATACCTACCAAAGAAAGATCAATTCAACGTTATAGTAAAGCCCTAGAACTGATTGCAAATGAATTTAACCAATTCTTTGTCGCTGTTGGAGAAAAATCCGCAACGCTACGGCTCAATTAGCCCTGGAGAATAATTTCGAGAATAATTTTGACGTATCAAAGACAAGTCCTATAATTCCAATACCCACTGGCTATGCGTCGCATGAAACGTTTAAATTATTACCTGTGTCTTGTACCGAGGTCGAACGAATCATCATTTCTATGTCTTCTAATAAATCGCCATGCCCCGACAAAGTAAGCATGAGTGTTTTAAAAGATTGTCTTCCTGTCGTCCTTGGTCCTATTACCGACATCATCAATTGTTCTTTTGCCACATCAACGTTCCCAGATGACTGTAAACTAGCTGAAGTCATTCCTGTATTAAGGGAAGGGGACCACGAAGTCGCCTCGAACAATCGTCCTCTCTCCCTGCTAAATGCTGTTTCGAAGATCTGCGAGAGAGTTGTTCTTAATCAATTTAATTCTTATTTAATCGGTAATAAACGATTAAGTTCACAACAAAGTGGCAACAAAAAACAACATTCTACCGAAACTTTAAATTTATCAACAACCGATCACTTGTTGGAAGCGATGGACAACAAGAAACTATCTGCACTCATTTTAATCGATCTCTAATTTTATTAGTCATCAAATTCTGCTAAAAAAATTGAACGACGCTGGTGCATCTTAGGAAACGGTTAAGTGGTTCGAAAGTTACCTAACTGGACGTACTCAGAAGGTCCGCATCGGGTCATCTTTATCTGCTGCCCTTCCTATTACCCACGGTGTGCCTTAGGGAGCCATTTTGTCACCATTGCTCTTTTGTATATATACAAACGACCCGGCTTCCAACAGTGACACAAACAAGTGAGCTGAACTCGTTTGTTGACGACTCCAAAATATCGCTGTCATTTCCCATCGAAGAAGTGCTACAAGCTAAACATAAGCTCGAGTTTGACCTTCGTTTTGTGGCTGAATGGTGTTGCAAAAACGCGCTATTAATTAATCCCGGAAAAACCAAGTTTCTCCTTGTTGGAACACGTTAGTTGTTGAACCCATTGCCAGAAAATATGTCTTTGGATTTTTCAATAAAACAATTTGAACCTGTCACCTTCGTAAATGATCTTGGAATGACCCTAGACTGCATAATAAGCACATTAGTCATCTCACATCAGCTTGTATGGCAAAACTTTGCCAAATAAACCGTGTCAAACACTGCTTCGACAGAAACACGTTGACCTACATTATTTTCGCTGTGGTCAAAGGCAAATTATATTATTGTTCTACAGTCTGGTCAAATACGAGCTCATCAAACATAAAGAAATTACAAGCCGTCCAGAATTTTGCGTGTAGAATCATAACTAACGGAAATAAGTTTGATCATATCACACCAATTCTACGGAATATTGGTTGGCTTCCTGTCAAAGAGCACCTACTGTACATGTATAAATGCATGAACGGTTAGCTCCTCCATATCTGGCTGACCGATTTCATAAACGCAGGGTATTAAACGATCGTGTTACAAGAAACAATAATTCTCTACATATCCCTCTATATTCAACCACAACAGGACAGAGGAGTTTTAGATATAGAGCTGTAAAGTTATAGAATAATTTAGATATAGAATTAAAAAACCTCCCACTAACAGCATTTAAAAGAAAATTAAAGGGTAACATGTCAAATAAATACTTTGAAAGGTTAACAAAATCTTAAGACCTCATTTTATGAACTTGTTATATATTTTAGCTTTCGTATCTTGTAAATATAGTATTAAAATAGTCATTTTATTTTAAATAGGTATTGAAAAACCCTATGGGGAATACTTATCTTTTATAATAATAATAATATATTAATAATATAATAATTCATAAACAATGCCAACGAGCAACATAAAAATAGCGTAATAAGTAAAAAGTTATCACTAAAAAGTGTAAACTACGCTGCGTTAGAACAGCCAAATGATAAACTGATGTCATTTGAACAGACAAACGATCTCTTACCTGTGTTCAGCTACAAATCACGACCCAAACACCAAGATTTTTGTCGCTATCAAATCCAATTTACGACATCACCAAATAATGGGATTTATGAAGCAACTGTTCGCTACCACAAACAATGGTTTATTGTGAGCAAAGCTATTAGCCGGGTTAACAAGTACGGTAATGAACCAGAATATATTGCTAAAGAACTACCTCATTTAGGAAAATTTTGCTTTTGTAAGAAGACTAATGTATTCAAAGATTATGTACCAGTAAAACAGTTAGTTTGTAACTAGACATATTTCATGCAAAGACTGCATGTTGTTATAAATTTAGGAAATTGAACAATTGGCAATTTTACTAAGTTTAGTATGCTTAGTAACTTTGCTGCTTACTCCGGAGCATTAAGTCAAAATACCTACTGTGAAGGAGAGTAGTTTCATTTAGTTTTCGGCTCTTTGACTGTCTAGAAACTGACCAATAATAGACGCTAATTCTCAAGATGCACTTAAAACAATGCATTTGCTGTTGTTATGTATATTACTGTTCGTACTGTTGTTTCTACGCAGACCAGCTGTTTGAAATAAAGTCTTGAAATAATTCCAATATATATTGATCAAGTCGTGGTAAGTCATTTTAAACATTATAATTTTATTTCACCGACTTTGCTTCAGAAAATGCAGCCAAAACTTCGAGTAATTTTGCTATATTTTTAGGTTATAGATGTCCTTAGATAACAGGTACTTAATCACATTTTCCTCAAGACCAAGTTAACAAAGAAACTATATAAAAAGACTATATCAGTATAATTTATATCAGAACATATACATCAGCTTTCTCGACAAGAATTGGCAGACTTATTTAAATATATTTCGCGCCAAAACAAACTTGCGCAAAAAGAGATGTAAAATAATAATGGCAAAAATAACACAAATGCATTTTTCTACTTTGCTGCTTACTCCGGAGCATTAAGTCAAAATACCTACTGTGAAGGAGTAGTAGGAGTAGTTTCATTTAATGTTCGGCTCTTTGACTGTCTAGAAACTGACCAATAATAGACGCTAATTCTCAAGATGCACTTAAAACAATGCATTTGCTGTTGTTATGTATATTACTGTTCGTACTGTTGTTTCTACGCAAACCAGCTGTTTGAAATAAAGTCCTGAAATAATTCCAATATATCTTGATCACAGTTGTGGTAAGTCATTTTAAACATTATAACTTTATTTCACCGACTTTGCTTCAAAAAATGCAGCCAAAACTTCGAGTAATTTTGCTATATTTTTAGGTTATAGATGTCCTTAGATAACAGGTACTTAATCACATTTTCCTGAAGACCACGTTAACAAAGAAACTATATAAAAAGAGCATATCAGTATGATTTATATCAAAACATATACATCAGCTTTCTCGACATGTAATTCAAAAGACTTGGTCGGTTCCATTTAAAATTTTGATGTAAAAAGCAAATTTTTTGAAAAGTACAATAAAAATTAAATTAGTCGGCCGTTTAAGATTGCATGTTACCAGCGTTTGCCGCGAAATTACGACACACGAAACTGAGGTTATCTTAGATTACACAATAGATATATTCTTAGCTTTAGAATATTTCAAGCCTTTTATTGTGAGCAAGGCTATTAGCCGGGTTAACAAATATGGTAATGAACCAGATTGTATTGCTAAAGAACTACCTCATTTAAGAAAATTTTGCTTTTGTAAGAAGACTAATGTATTCAAAGATTATGTACCAGTGAAACGGTTAGTTTGTAACTAGACATATTTCATGCAAAAATTGCATGTTGTTATAAATTTAGGAAATTGAACAATTGGCAATTTTACTGAGTTTAGTATGCACGTTTCGGAAATTCCCTTTTTGTCGCCTAAATAAAAAGTTGGTCTATTATGCAAAAGGTCCATTAATGGGAGATTGTTGAAGAGTTGGCAGATTTATTTCAATATATTTCGCGCCAAAACAAACTTGTGCAAAAACAGACGTAAAATAATAATGACAAAAATAACACAAAGGCATTTTTCTACTTTGCTGCTTACTCCGGAGCATTAAGTCAAATTACCTACTGTGAAGGAGAGTAGTTTCATTTAGTTTTCGGCTCTTTGACTGTCTAGAAACTGGCCAATAATAGACGCTAATTCTCAAGATGCACTTAAAACAATGCATTTGCTGTTGTTATGTATATTACTGTTCGTACTGTTGTTTCTACGCAAACCAGCTGTTTGAAATAATGTAAAGTCCTGAAATAATCCCAGTATATCTTGATCACAGTTGTGGTAAGTCATTTTAAACATTATAATTTTATTTCACCGACTTTGCTTCGGAAAATGCAGCCAAAATTTTGAGTAATTTCGGTTACATTTTTAGGTTATAGATGTTCTTAGATAACAGGTACTTAATAACATTTTCCTCAAAACCACGTTAACAAAGAAACTATATAAAAAGAGTATATCAGTGTAATTCATATCAAAACATATACATCAGCTTTCTCGAAATGCAATTCAAGAGACTTGGTGGCTCAATTTAAAGATGATGTAAAGTCCGTTGTGCGCATATATTCCGCACATAACAACGCTTGTTTACGTTTGTTATATAATCTTTACTTGACGTACGGGTCGTATTAATTTTCTTAGTTTCTTCTCAATCTCGCTCAACCAGCTGTGATGAATTTGCTTATTTTATATTATATTTTGAAGAAAATATTATTATATTTTGAAGAAGATATAAAGCGAAGCTTGTAAATTAACCGTTACTTTAAATTTTATATATTTTTAATTGTAGCACAGCGAGAAAGTAACGTCTGTAGCGAGTCGACGATAAATAGCCTCGCCATCTCGTGTCTTCATTCGACAAATAAATTCTTGAAGCATTCCTCTATGCATAATATTGCTTTTTTCTAGCAGCCTTATCTTCATAAATCGCAATTCGAGGCTCTTCGCCTTGCGACATAAAATAAAATAATTGTGCTCCCGAACTGTCCGTTTGTAATACAATTAAAATTTTGATGTAAAAAGCAAATTTTTTGAAAAATACAATAAAAATTAAATTAGTCGGCAGTTTAAGATTGCAGGTTACCAGCATTTGCCGCGAAATTACGACACACGAAACTGAGGTTATCTTAGATGACACAATAGATATATTTTTAGCTTTAGAATATTTCAAGCCTTTTAGAGATTTAGTGTAAAATACAAGTCTATTCTTTTATCTAATAAAGCCGTTCATATGAAAGCAAGCAGTACCTTGTTGCCTAGCGCCGTGAGAGAAGAATAAACAAACTGTGTGTGCTTATTGTTACGCAAATGAATGTCAGTCACGAGTTTGCCTCAATTATGTCGCACAATTAATGTTTAACTTGCCTAAACTGACGTTCGAAAAATATCTGCTATTGCAGCTTAATTGTTTAAGTATGTTAGAGTATTTTCCCCACGAGGCAAAAATCTCAACTTTAGCGGTAATCTGAATACATGTCATGCAAAATGTTGCGTTTTAATCAATTTACCAAAAAAATACTGCTTCACGCAATTTAAGCAAGTGAATATAATTTTCTAATTACTTTTGCTTTCCAGTAAAGAAAATTCAGGATTATATGAGTTAATTTTTATTTTCATTGCAGGAAAAAATTTTTCTCATTCCAACGGAAAGTTGAAGAAACATGCAATTTAAACCTTTCTTATCCCTATATGTCCCATGTATATCACTTGTAGTCGTAAATGCCTTATCAAATGATACAAGTGCAAATATTTGCTACAATTCTAGTCTTGAAGGTAAAGTAAAGTTTATCAGTATCAACATATTGTCAGAATCCAGGAAATTTGCATGTCTGCTGGATCTTCAGAATTTTTTGTTTTTATTAAAACTATATACCTCGCCAAAGCTGTTTCTAAATGATATAAATTACGAATGAGGACTAAATAATTCATCCCTTTTTTTATCAATCATCGAAGGCCTAATCTTGCTTGGAATGATGACAGTTAACTGATCGAGAAATTTTAAAATTGATTCAAAATTTCTTCTTCATCGACATGGAGGAATAGATATATATTTCGGATGCCAGTTTTGCCGGTCACAAATTTTAAAATTTTATAGATGAATTGTATCAGTATAACTGAATTGTTGGAATACAATGGTTCAATGCTTGCGGAAAACTTGAAATAAACGCATTGAGCACACCTAACACAGGTCTCGACACAAGACAAAATTGTCAAAAAAATTGGTATTGTTTTTTGATAATCATCCGATATGTGGATATATATCCAACACTTAGATTATTGCATGGGACGCAATTGGCGTCTCACTTACTGATCGTTTCCAACAGTTTCAAAATAGAGCAGCTAGCGTTATTACTAGCCGTAAAACTGAGCATGGCTAATCTGAACTCGCTCTGGACGAACTGAGATGGAAACGACATTGAAATGCCTTAAAGCTTAGCAATGCGAAGGTTTTCCTTAAAATTATTATTTTACACTTTAGGATTCAGACTGAATGTAACAGTTGTTAAAACAAATGTCGTTTCTGAATGGATAGATTGCGTAATGGAGTGTGCAACTGAGATATGTTGTAGATCTATCAACTTCAAGAGGATATTAACTTCAAAAAATGATTCAAATTGTGAAATGTTACACAACGTGGTTTACAATACATCTGAGAGATTACTGGAGAAGAATTCTTCCTATGATTATGTTTATCTTGTTAAACCACAAAAGGTATGATTTAGCGGCATACAGTATATCCTCAACATTATATTAATTAAATTAAGCATTTGAAATAAATTACAAAATCTTAATAGCAAACTTGTTTCGACTTAACTATACGCCATCTTCAGTGCGAATGAATTATCATTTTCATTGTGAAATAATTATATAAAGTAGAAATATGATACAGGCGAGGTGATACTCGATGATTGACAACAATGATTGACAACATAAAAGGATAGAAGATATGCATAATAAGCAGAACAACACGACAGACAAAAATTAAACTTGAAAATAGTATTAAAATGCAGAACCTGTTTGTTACTTATGGTCTGGTTTGTGTTTATATTTTACTTTATATATTTCACAATGAAAATAACTAATTCATTCGCACTGAAGATCGCTTATAGTTAAATCGAAACATGTTTGTTATTAAAATTTTTGTTGTTTATTTAAATGCCTATAATTACTCTTGTGTTATTCAGATCATATGGTAAGTTTATATAAATCAATTCTCGCTATAACATTTAAATAAAAAGTGCTGAACATAAACCTGACGGCGTTAATAGCAAGGTTTCATTTTGTTGGAAGGATTAGCGTTGTCATCATCGTATACAGCAAAAAAGCAAGAATTCTTCTTCATTACAGGGTTACAAGAAAACCTGTTTGAAAAACACGTCGGATGAAAATGAAAGAGGTATGTGTTATAAAGATATAAAAAAATTAAATTATTCAAAACTGTAAAAAAATTGCTAACTATATTACAAGGCAACGAACGGGGACAAATAAAACATATCTTGCAACGACTAGGTGCATGTGAGCATAGACCATCCATAAGACAGGGAGGGACTGGAAACGCAAGCTAAAACACCTATAATGCTGACACACCATCCGTAATATGGCTTTATCACGTCAATTTTTAAGTTGCGTCAGAAAAAATAATGCGAAGTAGATTCAGCATAAGTTTGCATAATTTTTTTATTTTGAAGGATTTTTTAAATATAAATATTATATTTCTACCTGACCTTTAAGTCAGATAAATTTTCAAGGTAAGTGCGTTTTCATTTTTCATTTTGAGTGTAAACAGTGTTCATAGTTCCAGTTCCAGAAGTGTTTGCTTAAAAAATATACGCACGTAAAAATAGATAGTTTTTTTGGGACCCGGTAACTTAAAATCAAAGTTATAAACTTTCTTTGACGACTGAAAAATAGCATCTTATATTAGAAAAGAATGCATTAGGACAGCGACTGCAACTTGTAACTACATGCAGATTAGTGTGTCAGACAGGGTATACATCTGTTATCAGCCTCTTTTTGCGCTTGTAAAGCTAAGAATCGCCAATAACTGCATGCGTCGTGTTTTGATGTTGAAAGGTGACAATTGATTTTTTGTTCTCGTTGAATATGTATCTAGTTGGGACCTTATAAAATCTTTTCGACCTAGTTTCAGAGGGTTATTTTTATATTTGACACAATAAATAAACTGTGCACTTATCGCATTTTCCAACATCGTTTTAATCATAGTTACTCTAGGGGAATGGTCTGGAGACTTCATGATGAAGATGAATTCCATGGCCTATCCTATTGTCTTCCGTTTTGTGGTGTGACGTCATCATTACCGTGCACATCTGCATTTGTCTTCAAGTATTTTAGCACAGAGATTTTAGCATAATTACAAACTATACACAAATTTACAATTAGAATGAGGAAAAATTTAATTTTTATTGATGCTGGGTGTTAATTGTGCCTTTAATCAATGCGGGACAAACCGTTGGACAAAAGGAATCGGACTGTTTAAGCTTCCTAAAGTGACAATATTAATGTCTAAATATATTAGAAAAGTTAAATTATCAAAAAACTGCGTCCGTTGTATTTTTTGCTACACCGAGAGTCGCCATTGTTGTTCTCGAAATATGTGCCCATTAAATTTACTTTAGGCAAGTTTTAGAGCCTCATTTGCAGATAGTTTAAACAAAAACAATAAACTCTTAATCATCAACATAATCTTTGCGTTATTGAGGCTACAAATAACCTAATAACTGCGTGCGTTGTCTTTTTGCTGAGAAGTGTCTCTATTGTTGTTCTCAAAAATGGAGTTCTACGTGAACGGCAAAATTATGCCGACCGTATCACGGAGAGCGCACGCGAAAACAATACCGTTTCCAGTCCCTGTCTTCTGAATTGTCTATGATGTGAGTAATAGCCTTTGGCGCTTCATTGATTTTCCATTCTTATTAAGAAGTTATTTTAATGGAAACGATAGTCTGGTAGAGTTTGCCGTCACTAACAAGTTTGGTAAATGAGTCCGCGATATGTTGCTGTTCGATAGCGGATGCACCATTGAACACAAACAATATAAACTTATAGTTTTCAAGCTAATTTCCATATGCAAATACTTAGGAAAAGACTGTGCTGATATCTATCACAAAGGTTTAAAACAAGAAATAATTATTTTATTGGACCAATAAGTAGTAATACCATGATATAAAGCCATGTAAAATCATGATATTTTTTAGGTCTCCACTGCGCTGATTTGTATGAAAACGGAAATAACCAAAGTGGAATTCATGAAATTAATCCTGATGGAAACGGAAGTTTCAAAGTGTTTTGTGATATGAAAACATCAGGTGGAGGATGGACTGTATTTCAACGTCGTCTTGATGGAAGTGTTGACTTCTACCGAGGATGGCAAGATTACAAACACGGTTTTGGTAACTTGAGCGGAGAATATTGGCTTGGTCTTGACAAAATATACATGATGACAAATACTTCACAAAATGAACTTCGTATCGACATGGAAGATTTCTCTGGAGATACCAGATACGCTCATTATGATTCATTTAAAGTCAGCAGCAAAAATAAGAAGTACAAGTTAAATGTTGGAGGTTATAAAGGTAAGCATTTCACATTAAACTGAATGTGATTTTATTGGATTGTCCAGCTCTCTTTACAATATCTTTACAAAACTCCTTGTATTAAAGTCACCTCTCAAAATAATGCATCCAGGTTCGTTCTAACCAATTAAAAGAATTTCGGTGAAAAATATTACCTCTCATTCTCAAGACTTTACGAACATCGACTTTTATTCAAGTATTTAGAATGAAATGTTAGTCAGCTTGTTGTGACATTTTTATTAATATTTTTCTTCAAGAAAATGCGATATCCATTGCGTATTTTACCCCATATTCGTTCCGCATTTTATCCCCAATATCCGGCCGTTCCGTTCCTTCGATAAAGTTTCGCATTCGTATCCGCATTTCAACGCTGGTAGCCGACGAGGCGCACTGCGCAGCCTTAGCTATTAGTCATATACGACGAGTGCGAATAGAATAACTGTTTTATCATATACACAAGCGTGGGATAAAAACAAATTTCAAACTTATTTGTAATTGGAACAATAGTGAATACATTTGTTTTATAAAAAATAAATAATTAAATCCCGTATCGTGTTTTTTTCTTCGAACGTTTTAATACAGAAAAACACACACAAACAAATTAAATCGTTTTTGTAAAAACAATTTGTAAACATGTAGTTTTTAACCTACCTGTTGAATTCTTTTGGTTCAAAGTTTGTTGCTCTGTCTGTGCACTCTGGTGTACTTTTAACAAGGAAAACTTGAATTTCATCGTTCGTCGCTTAACTCCCCAAATGTTGCCACAATTTTGTTTACGTTCCTCTACTAGGTAGATATTAGCATTAATGTCTCATTATATCTGTCAAGTAGGGATCCAATCAATTTGCACGTTAGCTCATATCTACTTGTGTATATTGTATTTTGATTTCTAATTTTATTTTATTTTTAAGAGGTCGTGCATATACTTTTACATTAAGGTACAGCGGGAAACTCGTTGAGCAAACATGACGGAATGGCTTTCACCACCAATGATTCTGACAATGATATTTGGGATGGTGGTAACTGTGCGGTGAAATTCAAAGGTGCCTGGTGGTATTATGATGGTCATGAATCCAATTTAAATGGCTTGTATCCTAATGGCACATACAAATCGGACGCTAAGGGAGTCATCTGGGACACTTGGAAAGGATTTCATTATTCTCTGAAATCAACATCGATGAAGATACGACCACGTGAATTTGGAAAGAAAAAATAGAGTTGTTGAACAATAAAGAACTAAAAAGAAATAAGGTTTACTTGATAAAAAGTGTAGTGTTCTTTAAAAAAGTGGTTTTCATAAATTCTTGAAATAGTGTATAAAAATATGTATATAGGAGATTCTCCCCTACGCTTAACCTAATCTTAGTTAAATAGAATATACATGGTTTGGCGACCACATAAAACTTCTATACAACTTATTAACTATGTTGAAGCAAAATTTTTTTCTTTTGTCATCACGTGTCTATTGTATTTTGCACAGATAAACCAATAGCAATCTTATAATTAACATATTTTTCGTGTCAAAGTTGAGGAGCTTAGCAAAGCGAATCCCATTGGTACGTCTGGCTGAAATACAATAGACACTTGACGAGAAAGGAGCCATGTTTTGCATAAACCTGTACCATAACATAGTTAATGAGTTGTATTGTACTTTTATTTAGTCTCCAAACCATGTTTATTCTGTTAATTGTGGTCTAATCCGAGATGAAAGTTCAAAAAATGAATCGACTAAATGAAAGTGTATTTTAAGTTGTTTATTATAATTAGAAGAATCTAATTTTCATGACAGCTATATCTTCGCTTGTCGCAGTAAATAAAAAGAGAATAGCTACGAAGGAAACAGGAAACTTATGTAATTTGAGTTTTAAAAATAGACTATATGCTTGCATGTGTATACGGGCAGATGGGCTTGGCAGACTTTCCAAACCATCAGGTAATGACGTGCACGCAATACGAGAAAGATGGTGAATTGCCAGCAGCAATATGACATGGATGAGGCACACAACTTTGAACGTTTAGTATCAGTTTGAGCAATGTTGAGGACAAAACAAAGACTTATTCTATCCAAAGTTGTCCTTCCTGTATATTCTTATCCTAGTTTCAGCTTGGTTATTTTTATTATTATTTTGCTCTCGGTCGACTCCCAGCGTCGCTTGCTGCAGGCTACATCACCCTAATCCAGGCCCTAATCGGGGACCTGCGCACAAGCTGCTAGGCTATGGTTAACCAAGACTCTGTCATTGGCACTATTGTTATATCACGTGTTGTATTCACTTAGTAATCTAATAAAACTGAATAAAATCACAATACAATCACACGAGATCTCACTGGTATATCACTTGAAAACTCTAGTCATCATCATCACTTTATTTATATCACCTCATACGTCATTAACATTATTTCAAAATCCTCGAAACGGATATATTTCTTAGTTGAATTGAAACGTGCAAAAGTATCTGATAAAGACATCCTACAATTCTACTCCACTTGAATTCGCCCTATTTTGGAATACGCTTCAACAGTGTTTCATCATGCACTGCCAAAATACCTCAGTGATGAAATTGAACGCGTCCAGAAACGAGCTCTCCGAATTGTCTATCCGTCTGCACATTACAAGGATGGATTGATCGAAAGTGGGTTAGAAACATTACACGCACGAAGGGAATCCGCATGTAAGAAACTTTTTAATCAAATTTTAGCTGATCCAAGCCATAAATTGAACGAGTTAGTGTGTAAATCGGAATCTCCCCTAACGTATGAGTTGCGTACGGAGAAACATTTTTATATCCCCAAATCTCTTACTGACCGGTTCAAAAACTCTTTTATTGTTAGTAGTTGCCTAAATAAATAATTAAATTTTATAATCTATACTGTACTGTAAATTTTTATAGCTATACTAGCTCAATTATTGTAAATAAAAACATAATTTTTAGCTTACTTTCACCTGTAATCACCACGTAATTCAGTGCTATGTAACTGCAATGTGTGTGAATTATTAAATTATCTATCTATCTATCTAAAACACGCTAGCCCCACTCAACTTTAATAATAGTTGATTTCCAGGAGGGGCGTATGAATAATACAAAGAAAAATGGAAAATAGTGCAATATTTACAAGAATAGAGATAAATCTACGAAAGACTAATCAATTATTCTATATTACAGATTAAATGGAAGGCTTGAGATTAAACGCTTGAAGTGCCTAACTTAGGTAGTTTTTTTTGCTTCTGTCGGAAGATTATTCCACATACTTGCCGGACGTAATTGAAACTGCGTTTTAAAATATTGGTTCTTGGTTTTGGTAATTTTAAATCAGTGTCATAATTTCGCAGATTATAGTAGCCCTCCAAATCTCGGAGTTTTATAAAAATTATTAGTCAGGCCCGGAGCTGAAAGTCCATTGAGAACTTTATACAACAGAACACTCTTTAATTTAGCACGTCTGACATTAAGAGTGTCTAAATTTAATTAAGAGTGTCTAAATAAAATATAGTATCCCGAAGGTCGTGGGTTCAATTCGCAGCAAGGTCAAGTAGAGTTTTTTCTTACTTGCCCGGTATGTTTTGAACGTGACTAAAAGTAGCATTTGCCCGACAAATATCGTATCGTGTAATAAAGACCATGATTCATGCGATGTGTTCATGTAAAAGTAAAACTTAATAAGTTTGAAAACGCCAACACTTCTATAGTCAGTCTACAAGAAATTTCTGTATGAACAACGCGATCTTAACGCCCAGCAGGCGTCTTGTCGACTGGTTGTACGAATAAAATGCAAATTTGTCAAACAAGCGATGACTCGATTTTATTTTTAAATTTGAATTTTGGTGATGATCATGACATCAAACGAGTATTATTTTCATCAATATGTGTGTTACCACATGCAGGCTTTAGTTAAACAATAATATTAACATCGACAAAAACCTTTTATGCTAAAAAGAAACCGTGCATGATATTTATGAGCAGCTGCCAGTGTGAGCAGGTTAAATATTTGTTGACGCCGATACAGTATTTTAGTTTTAAACAGGTGAAATGAAGTAAACTTTTTTAACTTATTGCCGTGTTTTACGGAAACATTTAAAATAAAGTGTTGAAGATAACCCAACTTTGACAAAACTGTCAAAGGGTAAAATGGCCCTGGGTATACGAAGTTTGAAGAAGAATTGACAGATGGAGAGTAAATAAATAATAAATAATAATTTAATGCTCTGCGCTATACGACTATTCATAAACTGCCAAATATTACACGTTGATATTTATTATGCAGCTTGCATTTAAATTATTTATTTGCTGTAGAGTGCTACTAACATGCATATTAGTATTTTATTACTGTTCGTCGATGCAGTTTCTACGCAAACTTACGTTGTGGTAAGTCATTTTAAATATTAAAATTTATCTCCAATGGATTGTTTCGTAAAAGGCAGCCAAAATTTTGTGTTAATTTGAGAGTTTGTAGGTTATAGATGCCCTTAGGTAACAGAAACTTCATTAAATTTGCCTCAGTTTACAACGAACGTACTTAAAAAAAGCTAGCGGTATTATCCTACATATATATGTATATATATCAACATGCCAGGAACAGTTGATGGAAAAATGAGTCAACAATTAACATATATGCACCAGCTTTCTCGACATGCAATTCAAGAGACTTGGTCTGCATGTATAATTTTTAAAAAATCTAACTCCTAGACTGAAATGAAATCGGCAGTTTGAGATTGTTACCAGGGATTGCCGCGCAATTACGACCCACGCGAAACCGAGTCTATTTTAGATGACGTATTGAATATTTTTCTTAGCTTTAGATTATTTCAAGCCGTTTAGAAATTTAGCGTGTGAAATAAGAGTCCTAAGTTAGTTAGCGCCAGGGATTAGAGAAAATAAACAAACTGTATCAATTAAGCAAACTACTGTGAATGTCAGTCACGAGTTTGTCTCAATCATGTCCCACAATTAATCTTCATCTTGGCTAAACTGACATTCGAAAAATATCTGCTAGTTCAGTATCGTTAATATAATATACGTTTAAATATTCTCGACACCAGACAAACTCTCTGGCTCTCCTGCATGCTTGGTCTTATCCGCATTGCCTCAATTCCTGCTGCTGCTTGCAGCTGACGGTCACTCTGCATGTTGCTGACTTTGTAGGAGTTGACAGTAACGGTTGCCTCCCTCCTTCCCTTAGCATAAATATGTGTTGTTTAAATCATATGTGTCAATAAAATTAATGTCGTTCTGTTTGATAAAAGAAACGAGCTAGGAGAACTATTTCTTGTAACCAAAATTATTCGAACAAAATTGTGCATGATTCACTGTGTTTAGATGATCAGAGAATAAAACTTCAGGAAAGCTTTGCACGCTTGTTTGTCTGTCAATATATAACAAAATTGCATTACATAAAAACAAAAAAATGCCGAAGAGTATAAACAAATCGTGAAATTCAACATGTATATGCATGAATAACAAGTCTGTCAAAAATTGCACGAGTGTAAACATTTTACTAAAAACTTTGCCTGCATTTTGCATCCTTGCATTCATTGTTAAAAAGGAACAGTAATAATTTATGAGCAGCTGCATGCCCAGTGGTGTAAAAGTTTAATATTTGCTGAAACAAGTGAAATGAATTAAATTATTATTTATTGCCGTATATTGTAAAGAAACATTCAAAATAAAGTGTTGAAGATAACCCAATCCTTGACATAACTGTCAAAGGTTAAAATGCAACTCATTAAATGGCTGACTTACAGTTTTCACGTTATTGTAACGATCAAAATAACTCAGCGGAAATGTAAACACAAGCATGCAAAGAACCAAACTATTAATATTTTGTTCCAAGAGATAGAAAAGATTAAGATTAACGTGAAGATGAAATATTTGAATGGAAGATTATACCGTCTAAATGTTTGACCATGACACTAATCAGTCATCATGTTCAGCACTTGTTGCCATAACAACGTAAATATTGTGGACTACAGAATTTGTTAAAAGAATAAAAGCGTTTAAAAATTAATAATGATAGCATCAAGAATATTTATCTTTATCGAATCAAAAAATGCTGTTTGGAGTTGATTTTGAAAATGACTTCTTTTAAAGTTTACATCCCTTAAATTTCCCTTTCCCAACACGCAGCACGCTACATTAGTACTCAAAGTTGAAACAGTAAAATAAGTCATGTAATTATTTTGTTTTATTTAATTCCTTTTTTACGCTATTCTAATTAATTCCAGTCTAATAGTTTTTCAAATTAAAAGCGTCCGCTTCCCTACTTATGAGTCGAAA